TTTAGGAGGCCTATGGAGTCGACTCTCTCCATAGGCTCTCGTGAGTCGTGACAACACCTGTGTAGAAGCCCCAAAAGGCTCAGACTCTGGTCCAGACAGGGCCATTGTCACAATTTGTCATTCTATCAGTAGCCCTGCCCTGGCACGCCAAGAAGCTTATCCGCAACTTAATCCGGATCAGATTTTTTGCAGACTTCGCCTAGTTTTTCGCTTTTTTTTTTTGGCTTTTTTTTGCAAAGCTTTGGCTCTTACCTGGGGCAAGTGTAGAGGTTGCTGACCATCAGGCCCGCCCCCCCCCCTTAAAAAAAATAAATAAACTTAAAAAAAGACAAGGGTTAAGCAGCAACTTGAGCCTTGTATTTGTTGGGGGGGGGGGGGGGGAAAGAGGCGATGTTTAGTTAGCAACGAAACTACATGTCCTTATCATTGTACAATTTTGAGCACATGGTTTCGCTCATTTACAAGGGCTTGATTTTTATTTTATTTTTATTTTTATTTATTTATTTATTTATTTATTTATTTATTTATTTATTTATTTATTTATTTTGTGTGTGTGTGTGTGTGTGTGTGTGTGTGTGTGTGTGTGTGTGTGTATGTGAAGGCTCCATCTATTGGTGGGGAGCTGCACCTGCTGGAAACCGGGCCCAGCGTCCCATTATTACATTATTACATTATTACATTATTACATTATGTCCGCCTTTTCGTAGCTCTATGTTGAAGCATGACATGCTCGCAGATGTAGGTACAGGATATTGTGCAGCATCGAATATTGTATGATGGTGTATGCCCCCCCCAATATGGCAGGGGGGTGCGCATAGACTGCGGGAGAATGATGGTTGAGTCTGGACTTGTTGTCGCATCGAACATGTATGGGTAAAATGTGGAACAGTTGCAGTGCGCACAAAGGCTACACTCTGTGGTGCGCTCGCCGCGAGATGAGAGGCCGAAGGAAAGAAAATCAAATAAAAGAAAAGAAAGCGCTCTTGTGAGCGCGGCTCGCCAGCAGATCGGAGTGGGTCTAAGTAGATTTGCATTTCTGACTTTACACTTATCAGGCGTATACTGTGACCAACTGAGATATAGGCCCATGCGTGTGGCGACTGTCGTAGTGTGTTTGTTTCACCAATTTGATTGCTATTCTATTAGAAAGCGGTGGTCCGTCGACTGTACGTCTCGTAGTGCTTGTTTGAATACTTGGATTGCTATTACAAAGTGGTTGTGCGTCGATTGTGTGTCTCTTGACGGGTGCTCTTTCCCCATTTGTGTCACAGTGTCTACCGTCACACACAGCCGATGAAATGACTTTGTTGGGAATGTTGTTGGCTGTTTGTGGATTGGTGTGCTTCACTGCTTCTGTGATTTTACTTGTATTGAATATGCATGGATACTGTTCAGCGGTAGCAGTGTGTTTGTGTGGTGACTATGGTTTTTTTTTTTTTTTTTTTTTTTTGTTTGTTTGTTTGTTTGTGTGTGGTGACTATGTTAGTGTTTGTTAAACATTGTTTCCATAATGTGATTGCTATTACAAAGTGGTTGTGCGTCGACTGTATGTTTGTTGACGGGCGTTTCGGCATTTGTTTGTCTACTACCACACACATTGGGCCTCGCTCCACTACTGTCGACATGCACAAAAGACAAAAATCATGGGCATGTATCTCTCCATGTTAATCTTCCAGGGGAAGATTCTCTCTCGTTTACACAGGGGCTTTTTCGTAAAAAAAAAAAAAAAAAAAAAAAGACAAAAAAAAAAACCCAAAAAAAAAATGCTCTCGTTGTGCATGTTTGCAGAGTAGTGGAGCGAGGCACATTGACTGTGTGGGGAATGCTGTTCGCCGTTGTGGATCGGTGGCTTCTGTCATGTCTCCCAGGACGAAGATGTGCTAGAGCTGCTGAAGGCGGACGAAAGTACTCTGGATGACATATGCCAGAGCTGCGACGTCAGCGACGAGGACTTGGCGAGGGTGCTCGACAGATCTGATTTGACGAAAACGTTCGATCCCTCAAAGACCCCTCCTTTGCCAATGAAGGGGCCAGGATGGGCAGTGGTCCAAGGGGGAACAAGTGGAAGCGTTCTTAAGTCTGTAGAGTAAAGTAGCATCTGGTGGATGAATGGAGTAGGAGGAGGAGGACGAGGAGGACGAGGAGGAGGAGGAATGGAGTAAGAGGAATGGAGTAGGAGGAGGTGGACAAAGACGGGTGAAAAGTTTATGCCAGTAGTACATTGCGAGGGAGGAGGGAGGAGGGAGGAGGGAGGAGGAGTAGGGGTTCAGGTTTAGTATAGTAATAGGTAGAAGATGGAGGATAGATGGTGGTGAGGAAGAGCAGGTGTGAGAAAGACAGCAGCAGCGGAACGATGAGGTGGAGGGGAGTTCGATTTTGTATTTTTGAAGAACTTGTTATACACAGGGGCCTGTTGATTTAACAGCCTGTTTAGACCTGGAGGGAAAGATTTGCAGCATGCTGCATACGCATGGCGGCAGAGCGTGCAAGTCAAGGGAGCTGTGCATTTTCCGTCTCCGGTCCTGCGTAGGTGCCAGTGTTTTTTTTTTTTTTTTTTTTTTTTTGCCAATAAGGCTTTCATAGGTTTTGTACTGATTGACCCCTGTGTAAGCCAAATGCAGATAAAAAGCTTTTAGCGGGATCTCCTGTATTTTCAGAGTAACTTAACAGGAATCTGACCCTCATCATGGTTCAGGTTCATGACAACGGAGGTGTGCGATTTCCGTCTGCGGTCCTGAGTAGGTAGGTGACATCTGTTTTGGTCGGGAATGCTTTCCTAGGTTTTGTGCACATTAACCCCTGTGTTAACAGAAAGCTTAGAAAGCTTTGAGTGCTTGACAGGAATCTAACCCTTACGATAGTCCAGGTTCGTTCTCTTAGGTGTTTTCGTATGGCTCGGAATCTTCAGATTATTGCTTTAGAACTTCAGGCTGCCACTTTCTTCGCTCACTGTGCCCAGACGTCAGTTTTACTTCATGGATTGTCTGTCGAAACAGTGCTTCATTTGCGTTTGCTACTTTTACATGAAACGCGTAGAGACATGCCAAGCTCTTGCTTGGGCGAGCTGCGCTTTGTATATGAATCGGTGAGAGTTTCGATGAATGTTTGTGCTCAATTTTGCAGTACGCGCCTCTCCCTTCCCCTCTCCTCCCCCTCCCTCCCGCCAACTTCCCCTCCTCTCCTGCGCAATTCCCCTTCCCTCCCCTTCCCTCCCCC